GGGAATGAGGGCTTGGAACATTTAAAGCCATTCAATTGCAGTTTCTTCCCGAATACAGCGGGGTTAGGCGGAGCCTGTATAAGACCGAGGGATGGTTCCACCCCTCCCGGGGTGTCCGGGGCCGCAGCTCCTTCAGCCACCGCCCCGTCACCCGGCCCTGCACATTTCATTCTGAGCTCCCCACCAAGCCTGTCCCCACGTCACTGACCTGCTGGGGGTCCCCTCCAGTCCTCCTGCCCCTCACGTGGCTGTCTGCCCTTAACTGGCTCCAGCAGTGACCTACGACCCTTGGAGTCCCCACTGGGCTCCAGGAAGCCCCCCTGCCTCACTGTACACATCCCCTCACCCTCCTCCAGGACACTTTGGCAAAAAAGAGGCTTAAAGCTTCCTTGTATCTTTCAAGATAAACTTGCCTTTTTCCCCAGGATATACATAAAAACTGTTCATCCCAGAGGGGGTTTTTTTTTGTTGTTTTTTTTAACCTCAAGGATCTCAAGGGTGTTCATAACCTTTTCAAATAAAATGATTGGCCTGAGGTGAGAAGCAGCCACCAGCCCCTTCTTTATGATGGGGGTCGATTTCTTTCTCGCCATTGCAGGCCTGGTGTGGGAGGACGGCCGCTGTGTGTCCACATGGGGATCTGACAGGAGCTCCAGCAAGAGGCTCCAGGTGTTGGAAATGAGGGCTGGGAAGGGGTCCTGGGGCCCTCCTGGCACAGAACCACCTTGCTCTGGGGACACCTGTTATCTGTGGCCGGGCCGGGTTCTGGCTGCTGCTCCCAGCGAGCTCCAGGGGGCTGCCTGGAGAGGCCCCCCCGCAGGGCTGCTCCGAAGTGGACCCACACAGCAGAGGGTCAAAATTTGGGCATTTTCTGCTTTACAGACGGATGAGGAGAAGCAGCAGGACTTGCCCGTGGTGATGCCGGTTTTTGACAGAAACACCTGCAGCATCCCCAAATCCCAGATCTCTTTCATTGACTACTTCATCACGGACATGTTTGATGCCTGGGACGGTAAGACCTCTTACAGCGCATTTCCCCCAGTAACGAAATGGGGATCCGGATGTTGAGTAGCAGATAGTGCATCTGGTTCTAGAGCATGTTTGCGGGCTTAGACTTTCGAGGAGGACCGACGAGAAGAAATGAGGCCTCACCGAGGGCCCCTGAGGCCGGGGCGCTCTCTGCGCCCCGCTGGTTAACTGCCCCTCCCACTGGGGTGCGGGTGTCCGGTGGGCGGACTCCGCAGCTTCGCCCTCTCCGGCCGATTGTTCCCCACTGGCCCACAGGGCAGTGGGACAGGCGGGAGGGGATGGTTAAGTGAAGCGGAGCCGGAGGCTGGGGGGAGACAGAAGAGCCAGTCCTGGTCACGGCCACAGGTGGGGACTCGCTGTCTTCCTATCCCCCCCACCTTCGGTGCTCCTTATGCTCATTAGCACATCCGCTCCCTCCTGCATCACCTCCCAGAGCTGGCGGTCCCCATGTGGTCTCGGAGGGGCTGCCGGGCATTGAATAGGGACTTGGCCTCGGGAACCCGCAGCCCCTCCAGCCGCTTGTCCAGGGGCTTGCAAACACCTGCTGTCACCTGTCCCTCTAAACACGCGCCCCCCTCAGCCCGCGTTTGTCACCAGGGGCGGGGAGGGGGTCACAGCCCTGTCTTTCTCCCCAGCCTTTGTCGACCTGCCTGAGCTAATGCAGCATCTTGACAACAACTTCAAATACTGGAAAGGACTGGACGAGATGCAGCTGCGGAGCCTCCGGCCGCCCCCTGAATAGCGCGGCCCACCGCCGGTTCGAAGCTCCGTCTCTCTGCGCGCCGGGGGTTCCCGCACGCACCCAGATCCCCGGTCCTTTCAGTATTAGGGCGAACAGGGCCCAAGGCTGCAGAGCCTGTGAACACGCGTGGGGACATCGCTGGCCTCCCGTAGCCACCGGCTGACGCCATCGCCACCAAGTGTCCATACCCGGCCGGCGGCGGGGGGCCTCTTCGGAAAGTCACAGGAGGACGGGTCGGCGCTGGCTTTCCTTACAGCGACCTTGGCGTGACCCTGCAGACGACATTGATGGATTTCTTGTTGCAAACAATTTCTCTCAACCGTGTCCAGCACTTAGGAACAGCCAACGGCAATCGGAGCTTTAGCAACTTTTTTCACATCATAGAAGGTGCAATCACTCACTTTGGAACACTACTGAAAGTGACTTCTCTTTTGAAACTGAGTAGCAAATGACAAATACAAAGAAATTTTGAAGTTGATTCTTAAAGAAATTTTGAAGTTGATTAATATCAATTAAAAGTTTTATTTATTTTATTAGAAGTTCAATATTTTCTATGAATTTTAAAATACTTCAAAGCCAAAGCGAACTTTAAATGCCATGACCAAAATTACATGATTCATATTCATTAAATACGTATTACTTGGGTGTACAGACTTATTTTCATAATGCAAATTAAGACTATAAAATGACACATTTTTACTGCACTACAGAAATACTTGTGTATGTTAAACTCGTTTCTGATTGAAGCTAATTGAGAAAAGCTGTCTTTTGGGGGGGGAGGGGGGTCTGAGTCTAGAGCATGAGAGGAGAGAGACTCCTGTATAGAAACCAGAGTTCTGAAACTGCTCTAGCCATCTGATGAGCTTGGTACTCCCCAAAGTACATGAAATTAAGACCTAACACTTTTTTCCTAAAATTTTATCATTGAATTCCCAAAAGTCTGCCTTATTTTATAGTGTTTCTACAAGATACTCCCTATGCGAGAACAAAAATGGAATATTTAGTGAAATGACATTTTATAACCAGTCTGTTTTCATCTGAGGTGGGAATCTTCGATTCCAGAAATTTATAAAGGTTCTGTATCTTCCGTCTTAAGTGTAGTACCGTGAAAAATGACACATGATGACACATGATGTCAGAGTGCTTGTCACCTCATTTTAAAGTTGTATTTTTTTCCCAGATAAAAATGAAATTAAACTATTTGTTTTTAAGAAATCACGCATCACCTTTTCTTTGGAGTTTTAGGATATTTAACACGATTTCATTTCTTCTCCCTCTAAATAAATAAGATACCTTTATATTCCAGAGAAGATTAATAGTTAAGTTTTTCAGGGTCACAGAAGAAGAGATGATACGTTGAAAACTTCTCACCCATTCACAGCTGGGAGGGCTGGCCCCTCGGGAGGCCCTTTTTCAGGGCACCTGGGTGGCTCAGTCCGTAGAGTGTCTTGACTCTTGATTTCAGCTCGGGTTACGATTTCACAGTTGGTGACTTTGGCCCCTCGTCAGGCTCTGCACTGACAGCAGGGAACCTACTTGGGATTCTCTGTCTCCCTCTGTCTCTCGCTCTCTGCCCCTCCCCTACTCAATGCATGCTTGTGCTCCTCTCTCAAAAGTAAATACATTTCAAGTTAAAACATCAAAAATGCTTTTTTAAAAAGTCCCTTTTTCTAAGGGAACAAAAGCCCGTTTTCCCGTTTGAAGACGTTTGACCTAAGTTGGCAACCACGGACCAAGGTAGAAGACAGCCCTCTCCTCTCCTCCAGGTGCCAGGAAAGAAAAGGAAGTTACCCAGGTGAGCAACTCAACCATCATGAGGTAGAGAGCAGAGCATGTAATATTTGGAACGTGCACCACCCAGAACCAGGAACGCCAGGATGATATGAAAGGAACTTTAAGAGGAGTAGGCCTAACATGTTTGAAGAGAGAAAAGCAGCAACAGAAACCATAAGGTGTAAACCACGATAGGTTTAAAAATAAGTATATTTGAAAAAGAACCAAGTAGACATTCTAGATACAAAGAATATAGTCATTGGAACAAAACTTCACAGGTTGAGAAGGCCAGCCGTAACTAAAGAAAGAACTAGTAAATTGAAAGCCTTGAAGCTACTCCACATGTAGCACAAAAGTTTAAAATGAAAGCAAAATTAAAATATGGAAGGTAGAATGAAATACTTCAAAATGTGTCAAGCATGAAACAAAACATGTCTAAATTAGGAGATCCTGAATAAACTGAGAGGCACTCAGGATTTAACAGACACACATCTTCAGATTTAAAGGGGACACCGAACCCCAAGGAGGATAAGCAAAACACATCCACACAACTCAATGTGGAGCTCCAAGAGAAAAACCTAACAGTTGTGAGAAAAGACCGATCACTTAACAAGGCAACTAGTGTTAGACTGCCGTCAGACTTCTCATCTGCCACAGCCAGAAGACAAAGCAATAACATTTTCAAAAGACGCAACTGTCAGCCTAGAATTACATACCTAACTAAACTATCACTCGGGAGTGAAGGTGAAATACGGACAATTTCAAACATGTGCACATTGTTCATTATAAACAGACCTCTTTGGAAAGAAATACTGAAAGATGTATGTCTATAAAAATGAGTCCAGAAAAAAGAGGTAGGTTTCAGAAAGCAATGGCAAAGAAATTGGTAAATATCTGGGCAAGACTAAGTATATTGAGTGGGGCAAAAATTATAGTGATGTATAATCAGATGGGACAGGTATACAATTGGATAAGTTAAATGTTGACAAAAGAGATGTTTAGTATAGACTTTCAATATAATTAGCTCAAAGTTAAGGGAAATTGTCAAAGGAATAAAAGAATGCAGACTTTAAAAGCACTAAAGGAAAGCTAAGAAATAAAATGTGACTAATGTAACCCATAGGAGACAAATGGAGAAAGGAAGTATGATTTAGGCAAGGACAGAAGTACAAATGTAAGCACACAGCATATACAAAATCAATTCTAGTTTAAAGATCCATATGCAAAAGATCATCCTTTTGAGGAAGAGGGAAACATTCTTAAAATAATACCAAACACTTTAGAAAGCATACAAGAAATAAATTCTCTACAAGTTAAAAATTCTCTATGACAAAATACACAAGTCATGCTAAAAACCATGCCATGGATAGAGATGACCTACAGAAGTAACAAATTTGTGTGTGTGTGTGTGTGTGTGTGAATAATATATATCCTATGTATCAAGAATGCTTAGCAGTCCATAGGCAAAAAGACAAGGTATTTTATACCCTTCGGTGTAACAAGTTTTTAGCATCTGACAACATCAAGTGTTGATGAGGAGATGAGAAAAAGCGAACTTTCAAACATCAGTGTAGGGAGTTAAGGACCACAATGGAAAGCAGTTTGGAAATAACCACTAGAGTTTCTCAATTCAGCAATTTTACCTGCAGATCGTAGGGAAATTTGCCAACGTGCACAAAAAGACCTATTTAAGGATCTTCACACTAGGATTCTGTCACAGTGAAAAAGCACCAATCTAAATGTCCTTCGTAGAACGGATCAAGAAGTCACCACCTCATACTCAGACTGTGGTAAATTGTGCCAGACCATTTCTCCTGATGGTCTCTGCCTCCTGGTATCCATGACTTTGGGTTGGACCTACTAGTTTGCTTCTAACCAACGAAATATGGCAGAAATGATGGGGTGACACTTCTAAGATGTGGCTCCAAAAGACAGTTATGTTAGTTTCCTAAGGCTGCCCTAACACATGACCACAAACGGGTAGCTTAAAACAGCAAACATTTATTTCCTCGTAGTTGTGGGGGCCAGAAGTCTAAAATCGAGGTGTCGACGTGGTTCCTTTTGTCGGTTCTAAGGGGGGAGCCACCCCATACCTTTCTCCAAGCTCTTGGTAACTGCTGGCAATCCTTAGCATTCCTTGGCCCACGGATGCATCATTCCAACTGCTGCGTCCACCTTCACGGGGCCTCTGCATGTCTCTGCGACGTCTCCTTTCCTCACGAGGACACCAGTCACTTAGATGAATCCAATGGATTCATCTCAGTCCTTCACTGATTCCATTGGCAAAGACCATGTTTCCAAATAAGGGCCCACCCTGAGGTTCTAGGGTATCTGAACGTTGGCCAGCACTTCAACCCACCACAGATGGTGCTATCCATCTCGCTCACACTCTCCCGTTCTTATTTTGCTTGCTCTGATGAAGCGAGCGGCTCGTCGGGAGCTGCCCTGCAGAGCAGGCCACGTGGCAAGGATGCGAGGGCACCCTCCGGCCCAAGCCATGACAGAACCGAGTCACGCTGCCGGCAACCACACGAATGCATTGGGTGCAGATCCCGCCGCTGTCAGGTCTTCAGGGGACGGCCCCAGCGGACACCTTGATCACAGGCTTATGAGAGACCCCAAGCCGGACAACGCAGCTAAGCCACACTTGGATTCCTACCCACAGAAACGGAGATAGTAAATGTTATGTTTAAGCCAGCAAGCCTTGATTTATTACACGGTAACAATATATAGCAGTTGAAAATGAAGTAGAGCTACAGATATCAACTGGGAAAAAGCTTAAGAACAATACCGAATGAAAAGGTTAAGTTGAAGGGCGCCTGGGTGGCTCATGGGTTAAGCGTCCGACTCTGGCTCAGGTCACACTCTCCCGGTTCATGAGTTCAAGCCCCGCGTGGGGCTCTGTGCGGACAGCTCGGAGCCTGGAGCCTGCTTCGGATTCTGTGTCTCCCTCTCTCGCTGCCCCGCCCCCACTCACACTCCGTCTCTTGCTCTCAAAAAATAAATAAAACATTAAAAAAATAAAAGGTTAAGTTGCAATATTATACCATTTGCGTACATTTTATGAATACCCCAAACACACTATTTAATGTTCATGGAAAAAGTAATAGAAGGAACATTGAATATTGAGGAAGTTTACAAATGCTGTGAATTGGCTCGTGCAACACTAAGCTCCTGGTGTACACACGAACCAGAAGGCTAAAATCTTTCCCTCCAAACTCCCTCCC